TTCGATCTCGTTCAAGTTTCGTTGCGATGGTAATTTGAGAGTGAACTAAAACAAGGAAGTGTGTATCAATCGAGGTTGCGTTACGAATTGCATAAGAACACCCTGTGACACCGTGCACTCGTCTGCAAACATTGTTCAACATTATAGGGTTGCCAAATGCTAAAATAGTTATATTTATTTTCATAAAATATTAAATTAAAAGATGCCCTTCAGTGTTTGGGGATATTTTAAAATTTCTCATGTTAGCGAAGTTACCTTGTAGGTTATAGTATGATAATAACAGTTCTTTTTTTACAATATATGTGTCGATATGTCTAAAAATGGAAGCAGGCTGAAGTAGAAAAGTACATCGACCTATTAGCGTGATTTATTTAACATTTAGTATTTATTTAGTTTCTTTAAGTTTTATTTTTATTTATTTTGAATGTCTCCGCAAAGCGGTGGGACTTTTATAGGTGGATTTTCTTAATACATATTTATTTAATTTAAAACCCGATTTTTAATAATATACAATGTTTTATTTTTAAAATACGTTGTTAAAATGAAGTCCATAGATAACAAATAATATATGGACGTAAATAATAATCTTTGGCATCTACAGAGTATAAAGCATACACATCAATATTGGCAACCATATTGCTTAATAAGCCATACAGAAACAATTGACCGTAGTGACAGATGTGAAGATTTCAAATAATGTGTCTTGTCCTTATTATCAAATAGAGGTCTGTCCTCTCTCCCTAAGCTCGGTCTTCATCGCGTAGAAGGTAAAAAGGCCGATCATATAGCCTCTAATGAAGCTTCAGTGTAGATCTATTTTTACATTCGATAAATTCCAAAAAGAACCTTTGATATTCCTACCGCCCATTTAATGTGCAGTTTTATAGAGATAAATACTTGGAGCAAGTGGGAATCGAACCCACTATCTGTAGGTTAGTTTTCAGTACATTCCTGAAACTAGGCCAATTGTCACTGAATTATCTTATCGAGCAAGAAGGAAATCGGTATTCTAACCAATTTTAATCTAGGACGTCTCGTGCTCAACATAGTAGGCGTTAGGCGGTCATAAAAATCAGAGAATGTTAGCAATTTTCGGCCCACGGCTAGTCGGTGATGAATTCTTAACGATCGGCAGAATAAGATATTAGTTTAAAATACACCATCTACAAGTTGACGGACTCGTCAGTCTAATGGTGGCGATGTATGGCTATTAATTAACGGGTGGTGGATTCGATCCCCACCGGTTCCAGCGTGTTTCTAATCAATTTATAATTTTGCTGAAACATGTTGGACGTCTGGAAACCTGGAAATTAAATGGGTGGTAGGAATATTAAAATTCCGTCTTGCTTGCGAACCGCCATCCACAGATAAAAAGCCGTGAAGTTTGATCGCGTTTCAGCCTGTGGATTTCCAAGTATCCAAAGTCAAAATAGGTCGACAGCATATCTTGTTTAGATGCTGGGGTATATCACCTACCATCAAGTGAACCGTGAACATGCCATATCTGTCCTCCTAAATCATTAAAAAAAATTAAAACTACATACTACATTACCTATACTTATTTAAAATACTTGTCTTGGTATTAACAACAGTGTTTAATTTGTAATCTGTATTAAATCTGTAATCGATTGTACTTCTAAATAAGTTCATTTATTAACCTTGTACCGAACTGGAACAGGTGTTCGGTGTCCCTTTCAAATATTTTATTCCAATCAATATTAGTTTATATAATACTTTGTGATGTCAAGGGCTTTTATTATAGCTCGTTTATTCTTAACCACGCGCGAATTAATTACTAGCCAACTTTTAAACAAAAACAAGATACATATATTAGTTAAACTTATTTGAAAATTATCTTAACTGCGGCCCGACGTTTCGGACGCTTTGCAGCAGCCGAGGTCTCGGAGAGTCTCAAATAACTAATATATATCGCGTTTTAAACCGTTAAAGTTGTTCTTTTGCTATATGAAGTATTCGATGAACTTCGATTATCATAAAAATTAATCTTTTAAAATAGACATGTACTATTGTTGACATGTTCCTAGATCATTTAACCACTCTTTTATACATTTGTTTTAATTTTTTGAATCGTTTTCGTATGCAACACAAGCCCTAAAAGATGTATATTTTTCCCCATTTATTCCACATTTTTCTCTGTTTCTTAGCTCCTATTAGTCGAACGTGGTGTTATATAAAAGCTTCCACGATAAATGGTCTACCCGACACAAAAACAATTTTTTGATTAGAACCAGTAGAGCCTGCGATTAGCGCGTTCGAACTAACTCTACAGCTTTATAATAATAGTAAAGATATTACAAGAGACTTCCAATCACTTAGACAGCTTAAAGATTGACGTGATATAGTTTCTTATTCAGTAATTTCATCTTTCAAGCGAAGCTATTCAGCGACGCGAACGACGTCGTGGGTAACAATAATAATTTAAAAACATCAGGAGGACATGCAAGAACAATTTTGACGCCCAAAATAACTATTCTACGCGGAAAAAGTCGCTGGCATAGCTTGTATGTTAATATTATGAAACGAAGTCGTGAAATATCATTTGCCTTATTTCGAATTTCTCGGTAGCGCTGTTAATTTCGTTACGTAGTGTGCAATCACGATATTATCCGTGATGTTATAAACTTTAGCTTGACAAAAACCGGGGGTCTTTAGTGCTTATGGGGCAAGCAGTGCTTGCATGGTCTTATTGGTATTTGTTCTTCTAGGGGACTTAATCACAGCTAAATTGTATACATGCCTTCTGTGTCTGTGCGCAGAATACAAAACAAACCGGAAGGAATCTTCTGTCACAGTACTAGCTAACACTTTCTCGGCGATTTCTTCAAAAATTTTAAAAAGTATTATTAAGTAGTATTTTTGGAAATAGAAACGAGATGGTACAAATTAGAAATAAACTACGCACATCGTCAAATTAACGTGATGGTCTATAGTGAACTACTCCAATTTGGCGTAGTCGTGAGAGCACTTATAACTGAGTACGCAGGTTTTATTTTGTGCTATATTCTGATTAGTACTACAGGTTACTAAAGGAATATATTGATCAGGCTCTTTGCAATAAGTTGATATGCAAATTACATAAAAGACACCTTTTTGAGATCACGCTTCTTGCAAGTCATGATGACGACGCCGTAACCAAAAAGTAAGGCTTCGGTACGGAACGGTTGCGAAAGTGAAATATGTGCACAGTCATAAGCTGTTGGTACAAGCAATTACAATGATTGCTGTTGTATAATGTATCGTATAATTAAGTACAAATATAATTAGATATATACGTTTTCCCATTTCATACATCTAGGATGCCGAAAGCAGATTTTATAACGATTATATGAGGCTGCTAGAGGCAGAGTAGACTTATAACAAAAAATATGATTTTAAATGAGGTGAACAAGAGAATTATGTCAACAATTTTCGGTCACTGTGCTCTTGTAGGCATGTAACATTTTTAGCCTATGAAAATTTAAATACATCAAGTCATAAAATTACAGTTAGGCTACTCTGCCTCTAGCTGTCTTATATTAGGTAAAAACATATTAGCATTTTAAACATTAATAATAAATTCCCTTATTTTTAATGTTTAAAATCAATCAATCAATCAATGTTTCTCTAGGCTTAACATACATATTTTATTAACTTAGTCAGGGTGATCCTACTGCATTTATCTTTAAGATCGTATACAAATTATATGTTTAAAGCCGTTGTGATGCCAAGAAACCGAAAAACCCAGCCCCACAATGATTTTGCAACGCATGTCGAATCACATTCGTCCGACTTTAAATATTAGAAAGTCAACTTTTTAACACAAATACATAAATATTTTGCGTCTCATACGTACTATTGTAATTTGAAAGTGAAGTTTTATAGCGAAAAGTAAATATTACTTTGAATGACTGCATATTCAATTATAGTTGTCTGATTTGATATTATTGTTATATAAGTTTACGTGTACTTTTATCTTCAATTATAAACTTAAAGCATATTTCAAATAACTCTCGCTAAAGTTGTATAATAGCGTAACGACACTATACTAAAACCAGAGTTACATAATTGTACATCGATTGAAAAAAGAAATATATAAGATACCAAATATTAAAATAAATGAAAACCTATTTAAAATTGAAAAAGAAAACTACAGTACAGAACGTTATGGATGCCTGTTAAGTTCTTGCCCGTGTTGCAAATATTTTTCAACGTAAAATAAATTTTCAATTTATATAATGCTACCATGTCCAATAACTTGTGAAGTATATTAAAGTTTTCAAATAATTAAACTGTTTAGGCTTAAAATATTAAATTTAAAAAGTAAGTCTTTGCTTCCCATACAGTTATAACAATTTCATATTTTATGTATATAATATTTCTGTATAGAAACACTCTTACTTAGGCTAGAAATAAATGATAATCATCAAGTTAAGTTGGAGAAAATGAGCCTGACTTAATTATTAGTTAATTGGAACATAAATCAGTCCGATAAAATTGACTGATTTTTATTAAACATGTAGTTCAAATACATATTTCTAAAATAATTGGTTTTTTTTTATTGCTATTCAAAATGGGTAATAATTTATAACTTAACACAGATATCTGTGGGGCGTTTTGATAAAGCTCAAAACAATCTGTGGAAACAGAAAAACCTTTTCACAGATATTTTATGAGATTGACAGTTGACTACATCAGCCATCCGCGAAGGTTTTGAAATAAAACTTTCGCGCTTTAAGAAACCTGCGAAAAACTAATAAATGAATTTATAAAAATTAAACTCCAAGCATATCTGGGTTTGTTTGTTGTCCATGTGTATAGTGCACGTTGATCTCAAAATATATTACCAAATTTATAATTATCAAAATACTTGTCGCTTGTTGTGTGTAATAACAGTGTTTGTTTTATTGATTTTATCAAAAGAATATGGTACGCAACTAATAAGACGCTGAAATATTTACGAAAATTACGTGAAAGTAACTTTGGGGGCTTATTTGATTTAAATGGCTAAACAAGTGGCAGAAGTAGAATTTCACGCTCCCGACTCCCCTGAAGATGATGCCGCTGATCTAGATATAAGTGTTGATTTAATTGATGATGGACTTTACTTGGGTATGTACAAATATAATACTTGTTATCTTTAATTATGTTATAAGGTTGATATTGTAACTAACCTAAATTTCAGACATAATTATTTAAAAGAATGCAACCAACGCTGGTAAGATATTTACAATTTTAACTAACCCCGCTAAATAAATTTAAAATCGATTATAAATTGAAAACATTTACAACTCCGGCAGGACTTGCACTGGTATTCATAGCGTTCTGTGCTTTTACTCTAAAAAATTGAGATACTAAGCAAATGCATCTTCATAGCATAGGGAATACTTCTCCATGAAGTAGCCAATGACAATGGCTGCTTCCACCAAAACAACTGAATTGTTGGCAAAAAACAATTTTATATTATCAATATACTACTGAAATTCCTTAGTTTTATTAAGCATGTTAACTAAGTTTAACTTTTTTACACATTTGCAATACTTAACTTAAAAATAGATTATTAATACTAAAGAACTCATGATATTACAGCATTTTCTTATCAAGGAAGTAAATTCTTCACATTAAAATTATTTATTGTGGATTTCAGGAAACCTAGCATGTGCAAGGGACTCCAAGACACTGGACAAGTTGAATATTAGTCACATTCTGACTATTGACCTTGTTCCTCTTCCTCGGACAGTACTTGATAGACAAAATCTTACCTTTAAGTTTGTTAAATGTAAGTAATATTTGTGTGTATACTTGTAATTTAAGAACTAATACTACCTACCATTGTAAACTTTACATTATATTTTTATTATATTATAGAATGGTAGCAATATTTACAAGTATATTTTAAAGATTTTTCCTTTGTGATTTAAGCCTTGTCTTTAATAATATATAGATGAGTTCTGTAGATCTTTTATATAATCATTGATTTATTAGGCACTATAGATGAAGTAAGTTCCAATAGTAATGGCTAAATAATTAATGTATTGCAGTGGCAGATATACCTAAAGAAGACTTGATAACACAGCTTCCACCTTGCAATGAATTCATAAAAGATGCCATATCCAATGGTGGAATTGTACTGGTTCATTGGTATGTATACGAGGGTGGATAATCTATAAATCCAATTTCATGATTATTGAGTTGGATATCCAAAGCCAAAATAGGTCAACAATAAGGTGGTCCAGTTGTACCATTCCTTTTTTTTAACACTTCAGTTACTTTGGTGTATCAAGATCAGCAGCGATTGTCATTGGCTACATCATGGAGAAGTATTCCCTATGCTATGAAGATGCCTTTGGCCTTGTAAAAAGCAAAAGGAGGTTTATAAGTCCAAATGTAGGGTTTGTGGCACAATTAAAGCTGTTTGGCCACATGGGCTATCAAATAAACAAGGATGACCCCAGGTTTAAACAGTTTAGGCTGAAGATGGCAGGCCAAAAATTGAAACAAGGTAATTATTATAGTTACAAGGTGAAAGCTTAAACTTACTAGGTCTGTAGCTTACGCGAGTAGTACACATTTGAATAAAATACTTTTAACCGTTTAAAACGCGACATTGTATTAGTTAACTTATTAACAATCAATTGTAACAACGGCACACGTGTGACTGAACATGAAGTGTGTCCCTAATGTCAAAGTCAAATCTGCTACGCTACCGCCATCTGTTACCTCGCAGTGGAGAAATTAGCTGGATTCTTAGAGAACCATTTTATGAATTTATTGGTATAGGATCCTACACGTTTGATATCCAGAAGCAACCCTTCGTATTGAAATTCGAATGTTTCGCATTTTGTTGTTTCTCCGCGTACCATTTTTGGAAAAATCCCTCGATAAAATAAATTGTAAAGAAGTGAACTAATTCATTGCGCGTTTTAAACCGTTAAAAGTGTTGTATATAGAATGCATTTTTTCTCTCTGCTCAGGAATTAAGACTGAGTAACATGTTTTATATTGGTAGTACTATAACACTGTATTTGTACTGTTTTCAGTGAAGATCCTACCACAGCTGTTTGTAGACTTGGTGAAAGCAGACCCAGGATTGATAAGGGAACGCCCAGACCCAATTGTCTACAGGTGCAAGAAGTGTCGCAGGATTGTTGCTAGTCAGAGCAATATCATACCGCACATACCTAAGCAGGTAACTAACAAATATTTAATTTATAAGATGATGCATGATTTAAATTTGGTATTTGACAGGCCTAATATATGCATTGATTAATATAAAATTACACCAAAGGCTTATCCGTTTCACAATGTCTAGCATATTTTATACTGCATATCATTGTCCTTCGGGTGTTTTATTAAAAAATCATAATCATATTAATATATATGAACCAATTTATTTGTCCTAAAATTTTAACATTAGGTATGTAAAATTTTTTTTTCGGTAACAAACCTTCCATTCTTCATAAGTAGAGGTCATAATAGCTTAATTATAGTTAACTCTTGGTAGGTCAAGATTGAGTTGGCCAAGAAAGGAATGCGTCCACCTCCGAGCAAGCTGACCGGATTAAACTGTGCAGAGAACGGGCAACTTCTAATAGACAAACTAAAGAATTTAGCCTCACAAATTATAGATGAGGACTGCGGAGTCACGGTGCAGGATGATGGGCCTAGTCAAGTGAGTAATATTCGACATGACATCTTTACTCTAATTGTACCATAGACTCCAACGTCATAATCAAAGCCAAAATAGGTAGATACGATGTTTTATTAAAATCCTAACAGTACTGAGTTGAAGCAATGCTCAATAATGGAAGGAAAGTATCCATGGGGGGTATAGAACCCTTTTTCCTCTGTGGCCACTCGCTATTATTAACTTTTTTGGTGCTTGAACTGGAAGACTTTTTGTCTAAAAATATGTAATATCTCCTTCTTTATCAGGTGCTAGACGGCTACAACGAGCAGAACATGGTGGACGGCAGTATAGCGGCCAGGGCCGATGCAGCTGAGGTTTGTCGGCTCATGTGGTTCGTAGAGCCAATGGCCTGGATGGAGGATGTGACAAGGACGCCCAGCGGTAAGCTGCACTGCCCCAAATGTCGGAACAAGATAGGCAGCTTCAGCTGGCTGATGGGTATGTGCCTTAACACACTAAAAACTCAAAATTCCAGCATTTCCAGTTTTTCGATGTCATGTCCGATTTCAGCTTAGAGCTTTTTTTGTATATTGTTTTTTTACTAACTTGGCATTTTTAGTAAACAAACACACCATTTACATGAAAACGTGATTTTCTCACAAGTTTTACATTGATTTACACTAAAAGCACTAGATTATATATTAAACGAATCAACAATAACAACAAACAATATAATTCAAATTCACTTGGATTCAATAGAACACAATGTCTTGCTAAAATTAATTAAATAAGAAATTACGTACTGCACAGATAAAAATTTATTTCACATAGAGATGGGATGTGAGCAAAGTCAACGACGATAGAACGTAGAAAGTTCCACTCATGCACGATCGCTGAAAAGAATTACAAACGTGTAGTAAACAAATTTTAAAAGGTCCTCATAAAAGTGATTTTTTTAACTGTAACTTTGTCATCTGTGGCTACAACTTAACTCTATAAAAGGTCATCACTAGTTCTCTATGAAATTAGCTATATTTGCTTTGCCAAGTAAGAAAAAATACTCTATAAACATACAATTTAACTCTTGTTTTTTTAGGGTGTAAATGTCCATGTGGGCAGAAGGTGGCGCCAGCATTCTACTTGGTGCCTTCAAAAGTGGAATGGTCTAATATTGTGCAAAATGTACAAATCACTGTCTAACTTTCATAGTTGTTAAGATGTAAAAACCAAAGTAGAAGAATGTAAGATTTGTTCCTTCGAACCGGATCAATTTTGTGATTAGGAAATTTATCGTGTTTTTGAAAGAGAAACTGCTATCTTCCAAGTGTTGTTATTGTGTAGTGACAATAAAACGTGGTCTGCTAACGATCTTCTTTAGTCTTTGAAATATCTAAAAAAATCCAATTTACAAATAGGTTTAATAATAATATTACGAATGTATAAACATTGTTGAACATTTCATACTAAAATTATGTTGATTTAAATATTACACAACATTGTTGTTGCTAGTTGTAAATATTTTAAATATATTATGGATCTTGTTTTTTTTTTTTTTATGAAAACATGTCACATACGAGAAATAAAAGAACGCCAAAAAAGTTAATAGCGATAGTAATTTCTATTATCTAGGTCGATGAAATAAATAATTTCTATAATAGTACTTGTGTTGAGTACTAAACCATTACTGCACCGCTAATTCACAAAAATGGCGCTTATCGGAAAGTTTTCGTTTGATGACTATTGTACGTTCAATAAGTGCCTCCATCTTTGCGCATGCGCGGAATCTCTTCAAGCGCGAGCCCATGAGCACGTATGAGGTGGTTTTTGCGTTTCCAGCTGTCGACAAACGCCCGTGGGCACCATGCACACTTGTAGGGTAGTTCACCTGTGTGGGTGCGAGTGTGGCGCATCTGTAAATTTTAAAAAGGCGTCTATGTAAACATTCATTACATGGTTTTAACTAATAATTCAAAATAAGTCCTTTTTCCAAGTATTATTTTTAAATGATAATGGACAGACAAGCATGCATATCACCTGCCACCTACCATCAAATGTCGACCTATTTTTGCTTCGGATATTCGGAAATCCAGTCTGAAACCGAAACGCGATTAAGCTTCACGGCCTATTCATCTGTGGACGGTGGTGCGTGACCCGATTTCTATATTCCTACCGCCCATTTAATATCCAGATTTCCAGACGAAATCCAACATGTTTCAAAAAATTTAAAAATAGACAGTTCTATTCCGCCACAAAAAGAAGTGTAACATTATATCTTATTATGATTTGAGTATCTTCCCTATGGAAGTATTTCTTACCAGAGCACTAGAATCGTAGAACGCTTTTCCACAACGCGTACAAACGTGTGGACGACACTGGGCGTGACGCAGCCTGTGGCGCCGCAACGAGCAAGCGGCGGCCGTTCGAAACTCACAAACGTCGCAAGAATATGGCTTTGCGCCTGTGTGCGTACGGAGGTGAGCTTCTAAGTTCATAGCTGAAGTTAAACAAAAAAAGTACATACAAATTTTGAAAGTGAGGAGTTAGTGAAAGAAAGAAGAATTATTTTACAGGTGCATAATACCAATATTCTTTGGTGAATAAAAGTGTTAAATTGGCATTATAACACTTACCAAGATTATTACTCCATCCGCAAAATGAGCAGAGGTATTGCTTAACAGGATCATGTAACTTCATGTGGCTCTGAAGTATTTTCTTCAACTTAAATCTAGAAATTTAGCTCAATTTATCAAATCAATTTTTGTTGAACAAACAAAAAATAGGAGTACAATAATTCTTGTATCTGCAGTGGTGGCTATTATCTATTGACCGCCTCTGTAGCCAAACGGTTAAGCGTGTTAACTAGCATTCGGTTACGCGCGAGAGGTTCTGGGTTCGAATCCCAGAGAAACAAAAAATGTTTCGGTCAGGCAGGGCACAGAAGTTTGATCAACTACTTGCCTGTTAAAGAATGGATCAGTGAAACGGACACAGAAATGTGTTTGCCCCATGTCCCACAAGGGGGAAACGGGATTTCACACTATTAGCTATGATTTGATATTGTTAATTTGTGAAATGCACAATTCAACTCACTTTTTAGGACATTTTTCACAAGCAAATGGTCTATCTGTGGAATGTGTTTTGATATGCGTTGTCAAGTGTTTGCGTCTCTTGTACTGTCTTCCACATGTGCTGCAGGAAAACTTTCTCTCCTCGGAATGAATGAGTAGATGCTGTGATAATTTTGATTTGCTTTGGAATCCTGAAAAGACGATTTTTGAACAACTATAATAAGATATAAGTGGCAAGCTTGCATATCTTAAAAGAGTTTGATTAAACTGTCTTTGTAAAAAAAAATATTTGCACTTGTAGTGCATATATTATACACAATATTTTAAAATTACCTACAAGATTTCAAAAAACAATATTCATAAAGATGATAGTGGACTTACTTTTAGTACAGATGGCACAGAAAAATTCCTGATAAGAGCACTCTTCCATGTGTTTGGAAAGCCACGACTTAAACATAAAGCCTTTTTTGCAAATAGGACATATATTTGGTTTTGAAGCTTTTTGGTCATTAGAATCTGGTTTAATAGCAGGTAATAAGCTATCTTTGCTATGGTTGGTGTCAGATAGTGGTTTATTTGAATTGATAATTTCATTTTTATGATCATTAGAGACACCCACACATAATTTATAGCTAGGTAATGTTAATGTGATCGAATCTTTTTGTTTATTTGGTACAATAACACTAGTGTTTCTACATGTCAAGTTTCTAAGGGTAATATTTACGTTTTGGGCTCTTTTAATAAATGCAAACGCGCTTTCTATGCTTTTCTTACATTCGCAACAAAACTGTTGTGGTAATGTTTCATCGTCTCCTACCTGCAAAAAAAAAACGATATTTACCACGTGTTGAATTAAAAGTTACTGTACCATGTGCCTCTAGATTTACACAATGGTAAATACCAAAATATTAGTGCAGAAACAAAACATTTCCAAAGTGGTCTTTAAGTTCTCTTCTTCGGTCGGTGTTAGTTCTGTCATACATCCACGGCATAAGTTGGTTATATCCATAACAATATACTTTTCTCCTCTCCTAATTATAATTAATATCCAAAAAAATAAAATAATAATTATAACATCATCAAACTCAGTTTGTTTATATTATTAAACCAACTTTTCATTATTGGTATTAAGTTAAATGTCAATGTTATCGTAACGTCAAAATGTCAAATGTCAGAATCGGATATTGAACAATAAAACAGTTTTAAAGCTAATAATATAATAATGTATAATACGTTCATAAAGTTTTTATTTATTTAATTCGTTTTAATTATAATAATATTTCTTTAAGCAAGAAAGACAGTAATAGGTGGTCGTAGTAGCTTACACCTACTGTAGTGCTTTATAGTAATGGCAGTTATAGTTGTAGCTAAACGACGGACTTTTATCTTATTATATGTATATGAAAGATATATATTTAAAAATATACAATAGTGATTTATTTTCTACCAAGCTCACTTTTCAAATCAATTAACTTAAAAATAAAACTGAGTTGATTTTTATCAATCGACCTCGAAACTTTTTCACTAAACCGATCAAAATTAGACCGCTTTATTCAAGGTAGAGAAAAAATTATTGTTAAAAAAACAAGAATAATTTAATTATTTCCTCCGCTCAAAATACAGCTAATGTTTCTAATTGCTCTTTTGCAATTCGTAATAATCAACGTACCCATCTCACATAATGAGAATTTGCATGAAACATTTAGGTCAATGTTATATAAACGCGAAAAGGTTTTCATAACGAATTTATTTCGTTATTGATTTTTGTTTGTTAGTGATGTGATCGCGCAGGGCGTCAAGACCCATTCCTGTTAGTGGAGACGCTTCTAACAAAACAGGAGCGCTTGGGAGCTCCTTACTTAACCTCGCAAATTGTAGCATGAGAAGTGCTTCGTTTCGCATCTGTCTATATGCTGCATCCATCTTAGTGAGCACTAAAATGAACTGCAAAATAATAAATAAAGAAGAAGTAACATTATTATATATAATTTCATTCTATGATTACAGACAAGCTCCGAATAACAACTTCTATTCTTTAAATACTGATTTCGGTAAATAAAACGCTACCTTCGCTTGTTGTAGTTTTGGTTCAGCAAGTAACGTGTAAAACATCACAGCACCAGCAGATATTTGACATAAGTTTGACGTGTCTACGACAAAAATCACCTAGAAATGGAAATATTTGACTTTAATATATAATTAAATAATATAATGTATACTGTTGATTCTTATCTTATTGATTTAGAGTATTTAATTTTAAAACGTTGAAGGGTTATCTTATTTATCTATTTGTGTACTTTTATTAAGAAATGATAATACTTTAAGAGTGAGAGCCAAAGTAAGTATAAGATTATTAGTCTATGCATAATAAAAGCTTTTCAAATATGAGACTCAAGTTAAATCTACGACTACGAAGTATTTACTCTAACAATTATTTAAGGTAAGAAAAAATGATTTCAGTGGCAGTATAATATAAATAGCACTGTCTAGCAGACGAACAGTAGGTTTGCTGAAAATCTGTGTTTTAACCTAATCGTACTGCAACTTACTCTGACGCAAGACCCTTTTACATTAGCATTACTTTTATTCAAATTAAATTTAATCTTACCATATTTTTTTGTAATAACATTTATTTCTACTACTACATCGAATGAATATTATTAAATACGCATTTGTACCTTTTCTATTCCATCAAGATAATTACTCCACAACTGTACCATTTCACCGCCGACCTCCCTTATACATAGCATTTGCTTCTTCCCATGTTTGTTGAGGTAATACAAATAATATATGTTAGTCCCAATCGTTGGCACGGGGCTGTAAGTATAGTCGATTCCTTCTACGTCCTGTAACTTTTTCAGTAAAGTTGTCTTCCCAGAACCTTTTGGACCGACGCATAGAACAGTGATATTATTCTCTGGTTCTTCCATATTTGATACTTCGAAATACTAATTATTCCACTTATTATTTTGAAACTATAGAAACAAGTCTAGTTCATCTACTCGGCGCTAGATGTCGTGATACTCATTTAATAACATACGTGATATATCAGCCTCGGTACATGATGGCATTGAGATAAACAAGGCCGAAAAGTTGTATTCTCAATAAATTATTGTTATATGTAACTTGTGATCTATATTTATCTTTAGCTTAGTACGTACCACTTTTTTTATATGAAAAATAGTCGTGAATATTTTTGGTTACAATTTTTTGAGTAAGAATTTAGTACAGAATATAATATATATATATAATAAATAATTTATACCAATATTATCTATCCATCCAATAATAATCTTTGTATGTAGTTTTAAAATCCAATAAGCTAAAAACGCGCGTCGCTAAGAATAAAATGGCCTCCACGAGAACCCTCAACACATGCTGCAGGTTCTAACCCCAGGAATAGACGATAGGGCCCAACCATCACACCACAGTCTGATCGTACTACCCTCGTCCAAGTATTAAGAAAAATATTGGAAATAACTTATTTACCTGGATATTATTATTAAGCATTGACTATCAAGACAAGTCGCCTGAAATAAATCATATAGTCGTATTTTAACAGGTTCACATTGAAACAAAAGTGGCCTTCGGCATGAAAACTCAGGGTTTTCTTTCACTCCTTTGTGTACAAAGATAAGTAATATATGTAAGCACGATACATTGCCCGGATACCTACATGAAGGTAGAGATACGATAAAAAACACAGTTTTAATATTTTTAATGCCTTAATTTTAGTTAGGGATTTTTAACAAGTTTTTTTTACAATAAAAATTAACATAGGCACATGATATTAACAAATGATAGTTCAAAAATGATCTTAACATGGCCTGCAATACCAAATATTCGGCGAGCCCCTTGACCGAATAACCGAATATTCGGCAAACTATTCGGTCAGATTTTAGTACTAAAATTCAAATAGTTGTGATTGCTTTAATGTTCTCAATTACTTCTCGATCCACAACATTTTCGTGCGCTACAAAAAGTAGTGTTTCAGGGCGCATTTTTTGTGAAGTTGAAATAGTCTACTAGAAAAAACAAGTAAGCTACTTACTTCCTTAGTAAGGAAAAACTGAAAATGTGTATATTTAATTTTTATTTTATCAATTATCGAGTCCCTATAATTTAAGTACTATTAAGAATAGTATAAGAGACGCCGAAAAGGCAGAATATTTGTGGAATGCCTACTATAAACTAAGTCGCATATAAAATAAATTATAATATAAGCTTAGGTTGCTTTATTGAATATAATTATTCCAATAAATTATTTTGTAGTGTCCTTACATAGTCTTTCATTGATATGTCACATAACATACATAGATAATCAATAATAATAGATAATTAAATTGAACTTATACCTTTTTTTGTTTTTTTTAAATATACAAATATTTTATATGTCGTAAAAGTATTCGTAATTATAGCCATCTACTGACAATATAAAGGTTACAGCACACGAAGTGCCGTGGGCAGAACTTGTCGGCTGTAAAAAGGTTGCCATGATAGGAACCTTGCGTACACATATGAGTTGGCATTCTCTGTCCAGCGGCAAGTGTACGTACAACCTTAAACTTGCTTTACGTAACTTAGCCTAATGCTCTTTAGGATACACTAGTGATGTACTTGAGGTTTTCGATCACCACTCACAATAAAGTCCTTAAGCTGTTCAACTTCAATTTAAGAAATTTATTCTTAAACAATTATAAATAGTACAAACAAAACAAAAATTATCTTGCAAGATATTTCGCAATGATGGCCGTCAGTATTTTTACGCCAAGGCTACGCACTTTGATGATATCCATTGAATTCAGACATTATTATTTAGTTGCTTAAAGATGATTAGAAGATAAAATGTCTCTGTTGCTTAATGGCTAAGCTAGAAGGATCCCGTGTTCTAACTGCGGGAAAATAATAACAATATCGGTCAGAAAGGGCACAAAAGTCAGTTTAATAGCGTGCCGGTAAATTAAATTAATAAGGACAATGGACACAGAAATGTAGCCACTCCATGTCTTACACATAAGAAACGGAATCTCACTAGTAAGGGCTTTTTGCACTTAATAACTTATTTTCCCTAATTTATTTCGTTATTTTTTTTTGTAAATTAAATATATAGCAAGAAGTAGATAATAATATATGTGTAATAGATCCGGTTTAATATTATCCATGTTCAACATAACCTTTCAAAGTAGATTAATAAAAACCGATATATCAATGTATCAAAAACCATTTCGCGCCCCTCCCTAGCGTGTGAGGTTAGCAAGCCCGCGAATTTCGGCGCGAGCCGCGTAACTAGGCCAGCGCACCCTTGACCCACTGACTCACTGCCAGCCACAAGCGCCCGCCATTGTTTTTCAACAATCAATAAATAATACACCGGGCGAACGTTCTGCGTTTGCATATTTACGCAACGACGACAGCGTTGAATTGTCGACTCATCGCCGCCATCTTTGCGCACTACATTTTCCCGCCATGTCAGCTGTCAGGCGCAGGTGCTAGGTAGCCTATATTCCACATGTTTGTGCAAAAACATACATTTCGTCAAAATAATCTTTTAATGACTTGATTCGAATGATATAAGTTCATTAAGTTGTTTAATCCTATTTCGTATTGTACACTATGATCTTTGTTGAGTCTTCGGTTAAGACTATTATTCGTAGTCTTGGTGATTGAAACGATGATTATCTGTAGTTGCTAGGCAACCAATTCGAGAAATGTAAGGTAATTTTTTTTTAAGTAGCCTACTTTCAAGATGATAGTTCTTCTTGCATAAAAAAAAAAAAAAAAAAAAAAAAGTAGCTTATTTCAATTCCCACATTTTGTACAAGTACAGAAGCAGTGCGTTTATATAAATTAAATTTAGTTTTATTATCCAGTTAGAATTAGTATAAGCGACGAGCGATTATATTTATTAATACTAAATACAATATATTAAAATTACTTCTGGGATTCTTAGCTATTATTAAAATATTTAATAAACCAATTTATAAGCATAACTTAAGTTGATAAGAAAAGCCAGGTGTACGGTTTGCTCATTAAAAGTAATTGTGCGACGCCAGCGGTGTGTGGCCTGCCTAATTTAGCTATCATACTCAGACCTTCAAGGAGGAATGGTTTTTCATCACTTGCAAATTATCTTTAAAAACAAAGAAATCGTCCTTATTGATTACCACGTGTGCCTTTTTTAAATAGATAACTTGTTTCCACAGATTAATACCTGGAACACATTGATAGATTTCCAGATTTTTTGTGTTGTGTAAAATATAAACAATGTGAATTACGCTAAACACAGTTAAAGAACAAAAAATGCGAAAAAGGTATTTACCATTTACTATTATTGTTTTTGTACTTACTTAACAAACCAGTAGCCCCTTCTATAAAACATCTTCATGCCTATGGTATTAACAATATGTGACTATAATTTGTCACATATTGTTAATACCATAGGCATATTTAACTTTCGGTCAACAATAACGAGGGTCCATTCGACCTTGGCTTATAAATGTAAAAACAATTTAAAAATAAAACAATGAAAATCCCTGACCTCCCTATTGTTTCATTTAACGTTATAATATCATACATAAATGTAATTAAATAATTGTTATCGTGCGATAATTTACCTTAATAATGAGCTTAGAGCTTTATTAATAATTGTTATTGTAATTGAATATGATTTTTTAAAATCTTACTTGTTTTAGTTAAACACGTCTTCTTTTTCCTATTCTTATTAATTTGACAATTATATTTGTATTTTGATTAACAATATCATTATATTACAATATATAAAAGAAAATAGTTTTTTTTAATTAATTAGTTTGTATGGCTTATTTCCTATTTAATATTTGTTTGGTAAGTGTAAAGAGCTAAATTAATGGCATCCTACATTGTCTTAATAGTCATAATTTAAGTTTAAAGATTGAAAGATTGTATTGTTGACGGCGTGCTCTGAACTTAATTATTATAAACGTATATAGAGTCACAGACAATATTTTAAATTTGTATTCTAGCTCCTTACGATATTCTGTGGGCGAGTGACGCCACAGCTGCGTCACAGACTGTCACTTTCTGTCACGTGAATCGGCGCGCGGTGAAAGCCAATAGGGGTTGTTCACTTTGTTTCTTACTCTTTGCATGCATTTGGATAATTATTTTAATCTCGGACGCGCACGAATACTATTACAATCATTATAACGATACTGACAGTGTTTAACATAATAACTAAAGAAAATAAACACATGACACACAATGAAATATAGATATATCAGAAACGTCTCATTAAACATTATACTATTTAATACTAGAGTTGTTTATGTCTATAATTTTATTCTGTGAATGTCTATGATCTATTCTAGTAAATAAGAAACATCTTAACACGTTTTCCGCGGGATTCTAGGGTACGCTGCGCAGGCGTAACGGTACTGTGCGTAAAATGTATTTAGTAAAATAATATTATTGTTGTTTTGATAAATTTTTTTTTTGAAAACTTTATTATTTTTTACATGTTATTGCACATGAAGGCACTATATAATTTAAAAAACGGATTCACAGCAACAGCACGGAACGCTGACGATGCCGGTTCAAGTCCTGCCCGAGTCGAAAATTTTTTCAATTTATTTTCGATTTTTAAAATATTTTTCTTATAAAGTTATTCACATTTATATTCCAACGATAAAAATCTTAATTATAGCTTAACTACGCTTTAATCGATTAACATTTTTTTAATTTAAATACTTGCGTACATACATAACAATTCGATTAGTGAACGTGGTCAAAACTTTGTCGGTGCCCTTGTCTCTTAGCATTATCATTGATCAAGACATGGGAATATAAAATTAAAAAATTGTTGAACGCAAGTGCGTAAAAATATAAGAAACAGTGCAAACCATACATTTTTCACTAATGTTTAAAATGCGATGTAATAAAATGTCCTTAAAACGCTGTTCAAAGACAGTGGTCAAATAATACGTTAACAGCCATATTGAATTTATGTTATTTTATCTTATACCAAAACTGCGATGACATAATGCAATTTATTGCAATCAAATGTCATAGGTCTACAGGTAGAAATAGGTGACTAACGTGTTTGCAAAACCAAAAAAAAAAAACAGAAAAATATGTTATGTAATAGTTTGATTTTGGAAAAGCTATAATTGGTGAATTTGCGTTTCGATATTTAGTAGGCTATACAAAATCCACAGATAAAATAACAGCAACACATCGCGATTAGCTAGTCTAAGGTGTTTCATCTTTAACCAAGTTTAGTGTTTCTTTTCTCGTCTGTGGTGGGTACGTTGGTCTAATGGTAGCAATGTATGGCTAATAATTAGTATGGAAATCTAGATACTAAATGGAATATCGAGATTCCAGCCCGGGTTACAAACAACCGTCCACCGTAGTCTGTACATATAGAAAGCCAAAATAGGTCGACCACACATCTTATTGAGATATTATAATATGGCTGGGATATTTCTCCTGTCATATAAGAAATTACTAACTAAATTTAATGTCAATATACTTTACTGGAACGCGAAGAGCCGCATTTGTTATTTTCGAAAATGCACGAATAGAGACTGGAGTCTATTCGAAATGTCTCGCAATGTTAATACTATGATAATAGCCCGTAAACGTGACGCCTTTTCAATTATTCTGCGCGATTTCAAACTTTTCCGTCATGTTTTATAAATTTCTTTTGACCCGTCATTATGCCGTGTTGACGAGCGCTAGTCTCGAAATTGAATGCATGAATGAATTTGATTTCATAGAGCCTGGTAATGTCATGCTTTAGGGTTTAGACAATTCATTTATATTTTTGAAAAACAATACTTACAATGCTTTTAAAGGTTTTACTATTATTGGCAGTTTGCAATAAAAAAAAATTACAGATATCGATTAATTTTTTAATTCCATTATAAATGTGTAGCCAATCTTTCTATTCATATAAGCAACAATTAATCGTTGATTTTCTTTGACAAAGTATATATTGTGTAAATGGAAATAAGGTAATTTATTTATTTATTTAGCAAAAGGAAACAAATCCTTATATCGTCGACTATTACTAATAAATAATGGTATGTCGTGTTTTGACAACTGCGTATTTGAAAGTAATCTGTGTAGTTTGATTTTGTAGTTAAATAAAAAGAACCATTCGTTCGGTGCATGATTGATATGAATTGGAGTTCTTTTCTGTAATCTTGTGCCATATTCACATGATAGCCCAAATATTCTAATGGTAATATTTGTATCGACATTATTTATTTCTATTGTAGTAAAATAAAGAGCAATTTAGAGATGGGAATATCGGAAAAATAGTTTAATTTATATTGTTCAATTGCTAACTAAATACCAGACGCTAATACATTGACATATGACCCGCGTCACTAAACTTTCTACGTTATCAACAGTAAAACTCTCATTTTTGATACAAAATCCAAACAACTGATTTGCTAATTAACATTATCGTTCGTCCCTCTTGTACATGGGGTAAGGGCGTGTGTGCATCTCTATCTAAATCAACAAAGTATGTTATCGCGAAAGCCGCGGTGAAAGAGTCAATGCCCTGCGCGGGAGCAACGAACGTCTTTGCAACGCGCGCACCTCCCTCTCCCCCCACCTGCATACCCCGGACCGTACGCACAGATATAATATGGAGCTGTCGACTTGGTCCTGTCAAAAACGACCCGAAAGCTTTTTTATGAAATCCCTATTAAACATTATTCCAATTTATGCTTACAGGACACTGTCAATATTCATTCAAATTTTTTTACGTCGTCAATATTCTATCATGCCATAATATTCAGTTAAAAATTGTAGATGAATTAAAAAATCTTCTTATGTTTTAATTTAAATTGTTGGATTAATACAAATGAATATTGTCATTTCTTTACATAATCATAACATTATCTACTAATCTATTTTATAATATATGTACTTATTTAACAATAAATCAAATAGATTATCGATAGAATAATTATAATTTTGGACGAGACTTATCATAGTGTTCCATTAACCTGAATAGCACGTCGTCCCAGTCACCATGATTTATCATGGTGGCTGGCTTCCGCTGTAAGAGATAAGATAAGCGTATGATTAGACAATTATTGTCTTAAAAGAGTCAACGTCCTTTGTTATGTAAGTTAATTAGGATGTACGTGATGCCCGCGTGCTTAGTTACCTAAAGTTTGTCTTGAAAACTAAATGGCACAGTTTACTAACTGCTTATCGAAAAGACAAACCACAGACAAACTTCTTTAATAGAGAAAGAGTTCACCGCTAAATCGAACTTAACAAAGAATGATTACTACATGATTCGCACATATGTATACATATTTCTTAAGCATATAATGAAGTTTCACATTGTTTAAAATAAATAAAAATTGTACTTTTCTAAAAGGCTTTTATATTTTGCTATGTAGAGGTAATGTATGAAAATTGTTCATAAATTATCTATCTTTTAAAATTGAGTCGTAATAACGACGGAACGCGAGCGATGTCGTGGGTAACAGCTATTTGTAAAGCTTTTTGGGTTTGCAAAAAAAAAAAATAGTAAGATGCAAAAAAAATGACTCCACTCGAGCGAAGTCGAGGTCATAGGGCGAAGGCCGAGTGTTTGGGTTGCCCGAAGTCACCTGATTATTTTCTCCTTTTTCCTTACCATTCCGTATGTTAAAACTTTCCCAGAATATAATAACTCTATATTTTGTCACAAGTTTAATTTTGTTTATCCTTTCTAAAGAAAATTAAATACCATTAGAAAATAGTTAGACGTTCAGCTCTATATGATATAATGGTGGATGCATTAGACACACACAGCCGCACTTGGTTGCATGGTGCTCCTAATAGATGCCTTGTCCACAATGGACTCTTGTCTAGGACCTCTTATATTATTTACTTAACTAAATCTAAGCGGAGAAAATGTTATTAAATACAAAGTAATACAAAAACCCAATAAGAGCGATAGGGACCGCCCATTTTATTTTATATACACTTGTGTGTTCAATAGATTAATAGGAACATTAAAAATAATAAACTTAAATTACAATTTATAATAATTTAATGATATATAACGTAGCTAATATGCTATTGGCTAAAGTCTGCTTATTAAAAATAATAGTTAAATTGTTAAATAACACAAGGCAATACTCATAAGGACTTATTTAAGTTGAAGTAGTTAATAACTACATTCAATAATTGAAAATTTAAATACAGACAATAACGAAACATATAATAATTTACTTAGTAATATTGCTAACACGTACAATAAAATTATGTTCAATTTAAGCTAGTAAATCAATCTACGCACAGTGTGAAACGAGCTTAGGAATAGTTCGCTCAGTGAAAGTGCATTGTGTTTGTGCGCCGACGCACACATTGAGCGGCTGCAAGTTTTTCAACGATCGCGCTCTGAAAGCTTTGGATCATTGTGCTTTCATGATTTTTGTAAGTTCGATCATTGTTAAGGATTGAGAGCTATACAAGTTGGTATACATTATAATATATACAATTTTCGTGTCACAGTGTAAGTTACCAGACTACGTAATGGCTGGAACGATTCTTATGACATTTTATATTTATATTCCGAGAATCGGTAACTGTGTTTATTCTATACCACTATTGGTTAGGGGTAACCCCTGACATTTTTATTATCTTTTGGACAAATTATTTATTTATAATTTTGTATACCAAATGTTGTATTAAAAAAACATACGACCCTAAACCTTCACCCCGTTATTACTAACTCCTATTTTTATGTTGTTTAAGTAATTTAATCGTTTTACATCCCGCTCGATAGCTAATTAATTAAAAATTGGTATGTTTATCACCCAGTGGAGTGTTTGCTTCCCCCATAAATTTATGTTTGCGTTTTTGTCACTTTTTTTATAAGTCCCAGCTTCTTTACGTCGGGCCAAGAATCTTCGCGCAAATTCTTCCTTTCCCACCATAACTTTCCTCTTTTAGGACATCCTGTCTCGCTCTTGAGAATTTCGTTTTCCGGGTAAGATATCATTTATGACGCAAAAACATTTTGGGGGGCACGCAAAGGGGGGGTTTGTGGTCGGAGAGACTTGAATTTGCCGGTTCTTATAAATAGTATGACCTCAAGTCTTCGTGTTTTTTGTTATTTTTTCAAATGTATAACATTTTAAAAGGAGGTAGAACGCTTACGGGTACGTAAGAATAGTGCCATAACCGAACCTCAACCGAACTTTGCTGGATGACCACACCCTACGTTGGTCAACGAGCCCATCGGGCTTGGCCAGTGAGCGTAACTAGGCTGTGCTACCGACCGTTCCCCCATCCGCCACGGGGGGGCCCCCCCAAACCCCAAAAAAAAAAAAACAAAAAAAAAAAAAACATACTACATCTGTCATTTGCCAGAGTATTGGCTTAGGAGGCGAATCCCAGCAGTGAATACGAAATACTATAATTTCCCGCAACAAGCGTGCCAAAGAACAAACAATTGGCATCAAGGTGCGATTATTAGACTTAGATCAAAGCGAGTGACGCCGCGGGCGCGTCTTGCATTATTTATGAAGCACGGAAGCGCAGTCGTGTGCGGTGCCCGTTCTGACAATGCGATTTAGCTTTTATCGACCGACAATCAGAGGAAGAAACCAGTGAGAGATTTATATTAAACAGTTTTAACGGTTTTAAATGCGAAATTTGTTATTAACCTTACGTTTCATTTATTTTAACTACGACACAAATTTCAATAGGGAAGACTGCCTCAAGATAATTAAATACCGGGGGTCTTTTATTAAAAAGACTAGAGCCCAAAAAACGGCATATCGATAAACAAGAAGTCGCTGAGAGTCATTTCTGTAAAAGAGGAGCTAGGTCTCAAAATACCAATTACTATGAAACAGATGACGTTAGCGAATCGCATTTGATTTTGACATTAGTCCCTAATGCCAAAATCAAACCTTCATCTTCAGTCCCCCCGTGTCCGTTCCCCCGGTCAAGTCGTAGTTAAAATAAAAGTTAATTAACATACTTCGCGTTTTAAAACCCAAAAATTGTTTTATTTAAATATTTGTACTACTGGCGTTAACTATAGACTCTACTCTGAAAGAGGTAACTTACAAACATTTCTATCAATAATTAAGAGTGTTGATAAATCTTATATATGTGTAGTATATATACGATTAAAATGCTGCATATAACTATAAATTAAATGTATATGGTAGAGTCGTATTTTGTCTTTATGTATTTTAAACTGCTAATGGTGAAATTGTGTTAAGGGATTTTGTTAATTTTTCTATCAAGGCAATTAATATCATTTGTTTTGGTCGGGGGATTTTTTATGACTAAGGACGATAGATGAGCATGAAGGTTGAAAAAAAAATATTCCAGTCACTGGATATTGTTTTGAACTAAGTGCGTTGGCCTATCCTTTGGCCATTTAAATACAACAAACGTGATTACACTTCACGGCTTTTACCGCACGTCTTACATCTCATAGGATGCGTTTTTTTTAATTTGAGTTAGAATAATACTAGCGGTCGTTTTTTAGTATATAACTAGTTGTGTCAGTGACGTCATCTGGTTTGAATAGTTATTTAGGGAAACAAAATATGTTTTTGCAAACCTCCTGGTCAACTGTATATTTAAAGTGTTACCTACGACGTTCACCGCGTCCCGTCGTCCTTGCAAGTTAATCTTTAAAGATAGATATATACCGTCCTAAACATTTTTTTAGATCATTTAAAGAGAAATCATTCTTTCATATATACTTTTTGGGTATCGCGAATCGTTAAAGATGAATAATTTTCCCCGTTTCTTCCACATTTCCCACTGTATTTCCATTCCTAATACGCGATAAATGCCAACCCACAAAAAAATATTTTTCAGTATTAGCTAGTATTATATTAACTAGATTAACTAGTATTAGCGCGTCCAAACAAACAAACTCTTCAACTTTGTATATTAGTATAAAATAAAAATCCTAACGATCCAAAGATTGAAGAAAACCTAATACGTTAGAAAAAAGTGCGATTTTCCACTCACACGCTGGCGATCTACGCTTGTGTGTGTTGAATTACGCAACTCCCGAGTGCATTCACTCTGCTCGACGACGCAGGGGGTGAGGCAAGTGAGAGCGCGGCGCGCGGGACGCGGTAGGAGAAATGCACTGACATAACCGCGGATTAGTTTAATTGCAAGATTGTGTGAAAGAAGGTGGTTAATGCCTTCGGCTAACCTATGCCCATAGCTTTTAAATTGATAGAGATAGATGTGATTTAGAAAGATTAATAAGAAAAACATTAAGGCGTTAATACCCACAGATAAGAGTCGAACTTCCATTTTCATGTTTATTCTACTGTTGGTCAAATGACGTTTGACAGATATTAAGTAATTCAGTTTGTGCGTAGTTAATAGTTGCGATGATAATTATATCTGTGTTGGATATAGTGGTAAATAATGACTTGGCGGGGTTATAAAATTAAGCCATGAATTAAAACTAGACGTTTTGCCTTGCACACGAGCCATCGGAAATTGCCCAAAAAAGTCACCACCGGATTTTTATTATCATTTTTATAGACATTGTTTTGCTGAATTAAAACAACCAACCACCAACTGTGTCCGACTAGTCCATACCCAAGACAATAGATTTTTTAA